CGCGCCGCCCGCGGGCGACATGGCGCGCTTGCTGGAGCGCGCCTTGCCCGCGCCGCCCGCCGCCCGCTCCTTGCGCGCGGGCTTGGGCGACAGCCGCGCCGACTCCTCGCCGCGCACGCCCGACGCGCCGATGCTGCGCACACCAAACACCCGTTACTTCTCTATCTACGCTGCTAATAGCAGTTTAAGCAAAAAACCTAAAATAGTTCTCAGCGCTGTTAATCGTCAATGATGTGGAGAGCTTCCCAACTTGGCCAGTAATTCTCAATGTAATGATAAGTAGATCACTCTTCAATACAATTAATTAACGATTTCTACTGTCGAATGATCGTAAAAACAAAGGTTATGACGATGCAAACATTTACATTTTGTATACAAAATGAGGAGTATGTACGCCTGTAAACAAAAACTTTAAAACTCTCTTTATTACAGTGCAGAAAAGTGTTCTTTAAAACATACAGAGTACAACAATAAAATGCATGCACCTCAGCCGAAACGTGAAAGACGTATGACAGTCTTTTACTAAACTCGTCCAAACCCTTCGCATTTCCACCTTGATTAATAAGGTTCTATTCTCGCAGGAAAGTTGGGACAGAAGAACAAAAAATATAACTTGTATATTTTGAATAAACTACTTCTCGAAGGCGAAAAACGTACCTGAACTTCAGTATTTTCTTAGACTAGTACTACATGAGATAGTGTAAACCGTAAGTTGATTCGTCCCAAACTAATTGACAAATAAAATAGAGAACGTTGAAGTCTTCTTACGTCAGCGGCTTCATTATTTTGATAATTCGAGGGAGAATTTTAACCAGATTTTCTACTCCCTCTTTTAGTCCGGATTGATTATTCCTTTCCCTTATGCGGAAATACTGAAATAAATCATATTCCGGAATAAACTTATAGTTCACCAACAAATACATAAAAATATCCTAATCGGAAAGGTGTGTATTGGTCTGGATTGTGATGTATGTGGTCCGCTTCGTGTAATTTTACATATAGAAATTTGATACGTAAGCTAGAAACTCTGGCAGAATACATAACATCAAAATAATTACATGCGCATCAGCTGCTATTTTATATATATTTTAGAGCATTCAAATAAAGTTCTTCGAACGTTCCAGAAATAACAATAGTAGCAGTAATTTCATGTATTGTCAGTGTTAAAGAAAAGTAAAACATCTGAAAAAGTGTGATTTTTCACGAGAATTGTTTAATCCTGAGCTGCTTAGTTGGAGGTACAGAGTCTTATGAACTATCTTTTTCTCTGTTTTTACTATTTGAACAAGAAAACGACGACTTCTGCGCAGTGCCGTGTGCCACCCACCTGAAGTGCCCGCGCACCGGGGCGGTGGCGGCGGCGGCGGCGGCGACGGCGGCCGTGGTGGTGGTGGTGGTGGTGAGAGCGCCGCTCTCGGGGGACGTCTGCGTGCAGGCCTGCGTCACCGCGCGCGGGCTGCCGGCCAGCGGGTCCTGCGCACCGCCAAGCGACCGCTCGCACGCGCTGCTCCACGCCTTTTACTTTCCCGCCACCGCTCACGCAGTACAGGGGAAGTTATGTAATGCTCAGCGAAAAAAACTGGCGATTTTCGGCAGAAAATCTCTTATTACATGGCCTTGGTAACGAAAAAGTGGATAATTCCAGTTGCTAAATTTAGAAAAACCCTCTAACACGTGGTGAATGAATCCATGTTTTGTGGGTCCTCGAAAAATCGAATGACGGCCAAACATCTGTTTGTACGTCCGTCTGTGAACAACTCTAGCGGCTAAACCTTTCAGCTGATTTTCTGCAAAATTGTAATTTTCCAATGGAGCATGAGATTTTTATTTTTTCCCTTCATTGAAACGTATCTCTTAAAGATAGATTTTAAAATAATTTTTCGAAAATGAGTACTTTTAGCGAAATTTTGTGTCAAATTATGGGTGAAAAACACGTGCAGTTTTAACCACTTGTTTACATATTGGACTAAGAACGTGGCTGCTTCGAAATAATACTCAAAATAATACTGCGCACTAATTTATGACTTTTCCTGCTGCGAGAAATTTAAACTTTATAAAACTCCAGAAAAGTGTTCTGAAACTAATCATTAAATCGGAATGAATAGTATGAGTGCATACCACTATCATCAAACTTTTTTTTTCATTTACACCCCTTTACAGTTTTCGTGTTGTTCTCTTGACGAATATAAGCACTCCTTAAGCGGCTAATATCATCGAATGACTGATGGTCAAGAAATTAAATAAAGTAGGATGAAGAAATCACCACCACCGACCATTTAAGGTCCGTGTTGATAGCATTACTCGAAAATGATTTGGCTCATTATCCCCTGATGGCCCGCACGCTCCGCTAACTGAATGCGCCGCCGGTCCGTCTCCTCTGAACGCCGATGCGGAGGGGCCGCGTTGTGGAGCGATCGAGATTCTCGCAATTGAGATTTCCGCCTGTCGCAACGCCGCATGGCGGGCGGAGAGCAGCCTCCAAAACGGCTCTTCCTGCCCTCGAGTGCGAGGATTCTCGCGCGCCTCGCTCCACGTGGCCCGCGACTCTTCAACTCCCTTCCCGGAGAGGCTCCATTAACGGCCGCAGAGCGACGAGACGGACGGGGCCATGGGTTTCCCCTCTACCTTTGTTGATGTATGGTACTGTTTCATCGTTTAGGACATTTAGACACGCGAGGGAATTTTGAAAATTACTCATTTGCTCACCATCATTTCAAAGAAAATGACAAAATTAAACGTTAAAGCTTTCTTTTGCTGTAAAAAATATCAATATAAACTGTTGAAATATTTACAATAACAATGAGAACATTAGTGAGGTTACACTGTGTAACTATGAGGATATTACTGAAGTTACTGAGGAGAGGACTGCTGTTGAAGATTGCAGGAACGCGGTTGGTGGCGTTACGTGGTAGATATAATGTTGGGAGTAATGCATGGAGTGATACTGGTGAAGGTATTAGAGGTGGAGTGGCGAAAGCGCTGGGGGTGCTTGGTGGTGAAGGAAGGGTGAGGTGAAGGTGGTGGGGATGGTGGTGAGGGTGATGGTAGCTGAAGTGAGGTGAAGTGATGGGCGTGTGTTGGGGTGGTGGCGGCTCACCTGGTCGTGCCGCCTGGGCGTGCCGGGCGCGCTGTTGGGGCTGGCGAGCGAGCTGCACGACGCTGAGGGCGACAGCTCGCGCGTGGCGGCCGAGGTGGTGGCGCCGGAGGGCGACTGCGAGAGGTCGCGCGTCAGCGACGACACCAGCGCGCTCGTGTCGCTCTGCGTCGACCCGCGCCGCTGCGACGACGGGCCCGAGAAGTCGCCGCCGCCCGCGCCTGCACACGCACACGCGCTCTGTCACTTCCCGATCCCTCGCGGGAGCAAGATCCGTTGGCGGATCTCTGGACCCGCCACAACGGCACCAACAGCGACTAACCCTATAACCTGGGTATATTACCCCCCACTAGCAAGGCTTCCAATACTATGAGACGACATAGTTTTCACTCGTGCTTCGGACACTTCGACTCATTGGCCCCTATGTCGAAGAAACATTAGCTACGAGTCCAAACCTTTTGGGACCAACCACGTCCTCGCAAAGCCGAGGGCTTGTTGGGCCTCTATTTTCCAGTGTGCATCTATCACTCTCCCGGAATCATGAAGTGACACTGATCCTCTGGTGCCCACATACGTATGTCTGCGTCTTCGGTGATGTCTTAACCCTGTCGGATGAAACTCTCTCTATTGGCTGAGAACGGTGCGGCAATCGTGATACTAATCGAATTTCCCCTAATTGAGACTTGATGTGATCTACGGCCCAAAATTCGTATTACCTAAGTAGTGGTAAAATAAAAATTCGTTTAATACGCACTTTTTTAGAGATTACTGGGTACACATTTTTCACGGTGTCTAGTAAGGCTCAGTAACACGCGTGAATCGACTCACAGTTTGGGCATCTTTGTATTCAGCACGACCAATGGCATTGCGAATTCGCGGTTTTGCACAGACCTCTGTGCTGGACATTTTGGCTAGACGGTTTCCACGGTTCTACAACTGCCCAAATTGCACGGGTTTCGGTGTATTTCGAAATCTGAGGAACGTATTTCAGCTTCAAAGACAACATAAACCATCGCTGCAGTGAATGAAACCATTCGCCGAGGTGCGAAAACACATTATTTGAGTCTATTCAATACAAATCGAAACACTTAACTCTAGTATTATTCGTAAATACATAAAGAGAAATGCTTGTAAAAAATTGGTACACTTGAAAAAGCTGTGAAGTTTAGCCATGCACTTATCAGGAGAGGCGAATCAAAAACAAAAGTACACTTAACTGAATGAAAGGCATTCTCAGAATATGAAGTTTGTATATCAATCACTTCGGCACATACGGTTCTTCTAGAAGCTAATACCATCGTTTATTTCTCTATTGAAATAATACTTTCCACAAAGGTTTTTAAAAAATATTTACTCACAAGAAAAAAGCACAATGTGGAATAGGAATTGCATTTATAAATACATCAACAAATCGCTGTGAAAGACCATGTTCGAACCGGATTGCGAGTATGTCTCAGATCATTGATGACACCCTAACATTTAAAATCGTCATCATTTACACTTCTCTTGGTAGCCTATTAATTACATTCCAAATATAAGCATTTCAAACATGTGATGACACATTTTGTTCCAGTAATGATGTTCTTTCTAGTATTGATGATATTTCGTGATCTGTAAATGCACTTAAATGATTTCCAGAGCAATATATTTACGAAAGAGTGGAGACAAAATGTAACATTTTATCAATTAAAATAAGTGAATTAGATCATTAGATATTTTAAGTAACAACAATAAATTTCGGTTTAAAAGTGGAATATTTTTCTATCAACAATACTCTTTCAAAACACCAATTTGTCGACAAATCAAGATAAATTTATTCTACAGAATTAATTTAGAGAACAGCACCAGTCATTTCGCCAACAAAAGACAGCTGAATCCAAATCACGTCAAGTCCGCCCACGTTTCCGTTACAAACACAAGTGAGAATCGCTGTTCAGGAGGCCTGAGCAACACCCTTCGCCGCGAGAGAGAAAACTGGGCGGCAGTTCATCAGCGAGCGCAGAGCCCTCGGTGGCGCCCGCACGCGCTCGGGGCACCCCACGCGGAAGCGGCGCGAGTTAATGGAGAGAGCAAACACGGCATTCCGCCGTTTCATCTTCTTCCGCAGACGCCGCGAAGCAGCGGCCACGCGCACGCGCCTTTCAAACACGCGTGATTTACCTCGCCTGCTCGCCCGCGGCGAAAGGGCGAAGCGGCGGATTCAGACCAACGGGGTGGGACCACGGCTCCTGGCGTTCGGCGGCGAGCCTACGATTCTTCCGCGGATTGAATACCAACTACGACACATACACACACACATTTAACATCCGATTTTGAAGCCGATATTGTTGTCTTTTAACATTGACATTTTGTGTTCGATGTTTTAGTTTTAGATGAAAAACGATTCATTGTATTAAAAATCTCTAATAATGTGCAGTATCCATAAATTGAACATTTCTCTGATTTAAGTGACCAAGTGTGAAAGTAATTAAAATCAAGTTTTGATCGATACGAAGTTCATATAATTTTGAAATTATCCATTGAGATAATACATTTCTTTTTAATTTTTCTAATCATTTTGACGGTGATTTTTAGTTCAATCTCTAATAAAAATTAACAAATGCACCCCCCCGTGTTAACAGTAACTGCTATTAAAGCATTTTTTTTTAAAAAACGTTGTTTAAAAAATCGATGTTTTGGGAGCGACGTTGTATTAACACCGATGCTTTAATTCCAAAACTGATGCACAGAAATATCGAAGCCTTAATACTACATTAACTGTTGTGACCGTATTTCCGAGGCTTGAACAGATCAGACTGCTTCGCTTTTCAGAATCCGCTTCGGTGTGCGATAGGACCTGAACCGGATCCAACTGAGATAGTGTCTTTCACTGCCGAATGCTTTGATTGTCATGCTACGATTTCCCTGGTTGCCTTTTGTTCATAGGACTGCATTTTTGTTACCTAGCAGAACTTTCAAATTTACAGTTTAAATAGAGAAAGAGGGGGACAAAGTGAAATAAAGCCTCTGATGAAATAAAAATACCTTTCTTTTCTTAACGCAAAGGTTGCAGGCTTTCTTGAGACATAACAATGAGCTACTCTTTAAGCAAAATCCTCATGCTAGATCATGGATGGCTCATGCTAGCATGACACAACAAATAATCTTACGATTTTATATTCAAATGAGCTTCTGTGCTCATTGAAACATACTGGTTGGATTGTATTATGCAACGCTCTATACTACCATGTTCATTGTTGACTTTTTTCAGTAAACAATTCTTTGCATTATTAACATTATAAAAATATAGGCAATTTCAGTAAAAAAATCCAATAAAAGCAGCAGAAGCGATAAAGTATAAAGCGATGTATCAAATAGACGGAACTTACTTGCTTCTTAACACATTCTGTATTTAACACACATATAATTACCAGACTGTAAATCAATAATTTCAATAAATCAATATACAATAAATGAAACAGCCCTAACTTCATGTGGTCTGCAAGGGCGTTCTCCAAAGGCCCATAATCCCTTCCAAGAGTCATTGAAATGACCCCAGCCCAGAAACCACACTCCGTTAGAACTGTCGCACAAAGAAACATCAAAAATTTATGAGGAAGTATTTACAATGAATGTTTAATTTGAATAAAAAACACTTAACACTTAAACGGAGGATTGTGTGGGGGAGAGCTATATACAGCAACGGCGTGGCCTGGAAAGTGCAAGACAAGGACCTCGGCTCTAAACTGGGTATCCAGTTAATTAACGCCATGAAATCGGTAAGATTCCATCAAAAAACAATATAAATGAACATGGGGAAGCATTTTTCTGTTTAATGTGATAGGAAAACTTGACTCAGGTCTTATAAGATTATATTTATCTCAGCAATAAGAATTACGATTACACCTAATATTTTCAAGTTTGTTTATGTAATAGTACTTATAGTGTCATGGCTTACGGGATTTTCGTTTCACGAACGCATAAATTCGCTACATAGAATAAGTTTGATAGTTCCAATGATCCACGTTGCTTTTGCCATTAAGATGTTTTTATTAAGGTAGTTCCTGACATCCGCGTCAACGAAAGAGAAGAACTGCTTCAAAATTTTACTACTTAATGTCCAAAACATCAAAAATAAGTAAAAGTTTTAGCTGCAGAATTATATTTAAAGAGACAAAACAAATTCTTGACCTTTTTCTAATTATGACTTCGGAGAAGGTAATCGTTAAGTGGAAATCAAACATTTTCGCCAAGCCCAAAGTTTTAGAAATATTACGAAACAACAATAAACCTAATTTTGTTATCTGCAAAAAAGTCACCCTACAAATCTGTTAGCATTTGTTCAAATCTGTACAAATCTGGTAGCAAAACTTTCATACATAAACTTAAGGAGAAAAAAAAAACTCCGCGACTACATTTTCATTTCGACATGTCACTTATGTTTTGAACCTCGTGCACTAATATTTATAATGGTACATAGAATCAGAGTTTCGCTATACGCATGTCCTTTGTTGAGTGTGCTCAATCAGACACATTTCTTCTTCCATACAGCGAGCAGATTCCGTTGCAGCCAGTGCAAAATGTTCAAACGTGTGCTCGAGGGTCGGCCGAGGTTCTTGCAGCGAGGGAGCGGCAATGTGCGGGGAGCTAGTACGTTTTTTTTTCTTCATTGACAAACAACTTCAATACATGGATACACTGAACAAAGGCAGTGTGAACTGGCCTCATTTAATTAACACGAAATACTCCAGTAGTAATTATGCGAAGAAATCGAGCCATATTGAGCCTCATTTCTATGAAGTAAATGCGTTGGTAATTTTGCGTTCGCTAGCCTCAAGGCTGTTTTGTTGTTAAACAAAGGCCGGAGCCTCGCCGTTGACTGTGTCGAATCGGCGATTTTTTTTGGCTACTTGTGAATGATTTCAAACATCTACAATTTGGTAAATCTCCGCGTAATACACAGTGCATTCCATACGTGTTCCGTTTATCCAGGCGTTTGTCAAGAAGAAAAAAAAAAATGCCTCGCGTGCGGGGTCGGAAGGGGCAGCCAGTGCATCTCACGAGCCGCGGCGAAAGCTGCGGCGCCGGCGTGGGCGGGTGCCGTGCGAGCCAGCCAACTCGTTGCAAAGCGCGACCGTTTTTACAGCATTGTGTTTAAAACAAATAATGTCCGGTCCCACCTGCACGTCTGTCTGTTGAACAGTCCGCTTTGTGGACGACACTGGGAAAAGTCAAATTAATAGGAAATAAAGGAGACACAGGGAAGAATCAAAATCGATTGTCAGGTATTGGGAGAGTAAATTCCAAACAAGGACTTCATCCCTTACCCGAGAATCAAATTGCATCAATCAGCTGTTTCCGCAAGTGAGTTTCAGTTACTTCCGCCAAGTCTTTATCACTAAGAGGCTGTAACAGTCAAGTCAAACGTGTTTTTTTCCTCTAATTAAAATATTATAGATACGCAAACATTTTTGGTGAGACTTCACTCTTACTTTCAAATATGAACAACATAACTGCAATGCCTGAACACAAAACAGGAGTATGAATCAGTGAAAAATAAATTGTATTTGAAACTACCGAAACTTCCGCAAATACCAAATTCTAATCCACTCGTGTAGTGAGAATCCACACATTACTATTTGATTTAATTTTTGACAAATTCGAGAATGTCTGTGCAAATCTGAAGAGTAAATATTAGCATTTCATGCAAACCACGACTACAGCTCCGTGCATTCGACGACATAAAAAGCTGCCCCCTTTACTCTTTAATATTAAGGCATATAATTAAAACATTTTCGAAATACTGTCCTGCCATGCGGTTTCAATGTAACCAAACATGGCAACGAAAAGTCAATCTTAACGCCCGACGTCGTTAACGATTTAACAGTCCGCCGCCCCTTAAGAACAAACGAAACAAATGAGTTCTCGCTGACGATGGTGTATGAGTATTCGTAATTCAAGAAATATTTGTTTAGGCCTACTTGATGTTATCACAAGAAAATATGTTTCGAAAAGTATTGTATTGAACGACACATGGCCGATGACACAGATAAGAGACGCGGTAAGTTACGTGGGAGGCTCAAGCCATCAGCCCTGTTCTTCCGGCTGATCGTGCGAATGTCGGTGCGTTCTTTTCGCCGACTAGCAGAGAAAGAAGGCATCACTCGGAGACCAAAGAGGCGGTTTAACAGTAGCTCGGACGCATCTTATAGACTTGAAAATCTCTGCAACATGAGTCAGCCGGCTTTACTCCCCAGACGGATAGTTTGCCTGTTACACGGCAGCGATCGGGTTTGAACCGCGAAATTGGGTAGAGCGGATCCGATATTCTAACCGCTATACCACCTCTGTTTACAGACTTGAAGCACGTCCATTATTTGCCATTTATCAGCCTAATGACACTATCTCACTTTGCGCATTTTAATCACAGAAAGAAGCAAGGGAGTCAGAGAAGCTTGCAGCCCGGAGTGCCTCCGATGCGACGCGACGCGATTCGATGCGCTTACGCAGCGCCAGCGAGGGGCTGGCGTCCGCTAATAGCGTCGCGCGTTCTGGGGCTTACGACCGCCCACATCCCCGGCCGAAGAGTGCCGGCGCGTGTTTGTTGACAGAGCCAGGTCCCGCGCGAAGCTCGGGAATTAACGAGTTGGGTGCCACAGCGAAGTCGCGGTATTCTCTTGCCGAAACGTAGGGGTTGAAAAACACTGAGTGCAGGATCGAGCTGATCGCTTGAAAGCTCTGGTACAGGCTGGGAATACAAAAAAATAGAAGGAACTCCGAGTCAGTCATCATTTCCATTTGGTTTTCCGCAATGTAGTCGTTTGTAGAGTAATTATTTACGATAATCGTAACTTCGTCAACATCAGTCATTTCCGTTAAGTTAGTATATGTCTTGTGTCAGTCGACAAACACGTGAAAGATAAAAGCCACCAGTCATCGAAAATATTTGACAGCTCTATGAACAATTCTAGTTCAAAGATACGTAACTATCAACTATCTACGGCCGTTCCGCAAACAAATCAACTCCGGTCCCCGTGGAAAGCTTGCAGGGGGCCAGAGCGTCTAATATGTGGCCTCGAGCAGATCAGAGCTTACATCTCACACACGCGCCAATCTCATTCCACTGTACGTACAGCATGTGTTACCCACTTCCATTCACTAAGGGCACAGCCACACACGCACACCTGCGTCCTCCTGCGAGGGGGTGGAGGGGCGGGAAACCGCCCTCCGTGTGCACAGCTGCGCCGCGCGTGCGGGTGCGGGGCGAGGCGGGGAGGGGCGCTGCGCGACATGCGGGGAGCGACCGGGCCCTCCAGCTGCCTTCGCCCGACCCCAGGGCGCATGGCCACGGCGCAGGAAATTGCGTTTAATTACCGGTGTCCTCCCCATCGTCCATCACTCACCTTTACGAAAGTTTGCCAGATATTAGAGGTTACTTCCGTCTATTAAAAGGAATAACATCTGATCCAACTATTTTCCAAGTAGTTAATAAATCGGAAGAAAAATCGTTTCAATATCCACAGAAAAAAATTCAATTAGCATTTTCGATAAATCGAAATTCTATAGAATTGTCTGTAGATGCTCTGTAGTTGACAATTTTTTTTAGGCATAGTAAATTCGTCTATCGTATTTCTGATAACAGTAAACACAGTTTTTGGCTTCGGTAAAAAGTAGCTTTTCTCATTTTCGGTTCATTAGCTTGAAAAGAGTGACATCATACCTAAAAAACAGGCACATGAATTGCGTTTACGTACCATAGGCGTGAAAGTTTTCATTATTGTTAAAAAAATTGTATGGATGATATTAGGCGGTAAATATCGATGGGCAAACATAACAATTTGAGGAGCAATCTAACGTTAAAAAACTGAAAAGCAAATTTTTGAATGCATGTTTTCGTGTTGGTATTCCGTAATATTTGTGGATGCTGAAGGGAGGCTGCGCCGTGCCATGGTACCCCGTGCCTCCAGTGGCAGGCTGGAGAGCGGGTGCGCGGCATCCAGGGAGCGAGCGGGGGGGCTACAGTCGTGCGCGGAGCGGAGCGGGGCGGGGCGCGCGCAGGACGACGACGGCGGCTGCTACTACTGGGGCGGGGGCGGCGGGGCGCTGCGGGACGGTGGCGGGCGCGGCGGCGGTGGCACGCCCGGCGGCGGCGCCGGGTGGAGCGAAGGCGGAGGCGGCGGTGGCGGCGCGAGGCGCCGAGGCGCGCCGGCAGCGCTGCGGGCGGCGGCGGGCCACGGCGGCGGCAGCGACAGCAGCGCAGCGCAACGGCGGCCAGGGCAAACGCAGCGCAGTCAGCCAGCGACTCACCTTGCCCCCGCCCCTCGCTCGGCCGCCAAAGCATCTACTGGGTGGGGGCTAGCGGGCTCACGTGCGCTTCAACGCTCCCTCTCAACCCAACTCGCAACGCGATTACCAAACTAACAAGAACAGAAGGGCGTTCGTTGGGGGAAAGGTCTCTCGAAGAGTGCTTGCTAACTATGAACAAGCCATTCACTTTTAATAATGTTTCATCATCACTCTCCTGCATGGATTTCATGTAATGAGCTATAGCTGGTTCAAATCACGATCGTCTCAGTCGCTTACCCACATACGAAAATTCGATGTACGAAGTGCCGTTTGCCTCATTTAATTTAGTAATAGGTTTAGTATTTCTATTAACATTATAATGTCTTAACATTGAAAATATTTTATATAACACTGTATTCAGAAGCAAAGTTTACCCTTGCAAATTTACTATTTCTTTTTCTGTTCTCTCTCGCACATTCTGATGCAGGCTGCGTACGTACATCGGCGCACCCACTCAGGAGTGTAATAGGCGCAATATCTCCCTGTTCCACGATTCATATCTCATCATAGAAACTCGAAAGCCAATACTGCATGGGAAATCCAAGCAATATGATATGGAAATGCCATGCATAATGATGCAAAGTTCATGAGACGAAGAGAAAATTTAACGTTTCTCCTTCGCGCAACTATGAGTACAAACAAGAACACCGAATACATGAATTGTAACTGCGAGCAGAGTAAAAAAGCTTAAGTCAAAGAAACATTATTAAAAGTTATCATCTAGTTATAAAACAACAATAAAGATATGAAGAACAGAGAAAATCCAAGTTTGGGGTTCAATTTCGTGTAAAAAATCGTATTTATTGAACTTGACTAGGTAAACCTATTTTTCTAAAATACAGATTGATTGCCTTTAATGCGAAGCAACGCAAAACACAAAAATAAACTTAAGAACTGCTGCAAATTCAACAAAAATAAGCTCGAATGAGCATTCAAATCGACAAGATTGGGCAGAAAATATGGGTATTCTTACCTTTGATGTTTTCCAAACAAGCTTTATCTGAAAAACAAGTCCTCAACAAAGATTGCACAACCGTTCCTTTACGAACTATAAAAAGGGAGGCGACGAAATTTCAGTTTACATAAGTGTCGTTAAGTGCAATCCTTAAATCCACAATTTTAATACACCAATTAGAGTAACAATAATGTCTTAGGATTATTAATTATTTTTATTAAGGACGTACACTGGTGGGATGAGGAAAGAATTCTACATTTTCACTTAGGACATTGTTTCTTTGCTTATAGTTTCTTTTAATTTTTTTCTGATAAACAAATATTTTATTCAATGCTAAATCCAGCTGAAACGATTTAGTTCTTATAATAGCTTCTTAACTGTAAATGGGAGAAAAAATTGGAACGACGAGACTCCATAATTTGGTAATGAAGAAATCTGAACAGCATATTCAATCTGTTCTTTCTCAAAGTTTGATCATTTTAATTTAATTATTCCTTGACATGAAATACTTTTTATGTGAAAGGAACAATTAAACTTCGCATATTATCAAGATATTCTCAAGTGTCAACAACCACTGTCGGTCATGTAAGTCAAACTCGTCAAAATTTGGTACGTCTGAGAACTGTATTAGCACTGTCAAAGACGTTCGAGTTTTCATCTTGATTCTGTTAACTTTACAAGGTAACTGGCAATGAAGATGCATCAATGAACGGCAAAAATATAACGATGCTCGCCAAGAGTCATTGTAAAGTTCTGTCTAATCATGAGAGACGCAGTGACTCACTCACCGAAAGCAAAATGCACTGACTCGCTTCAACGGGAAGATTAACGAGGATGTTGCAAAAGGGTGAGAAAACATTGTCACTACGCAGATGAATCATTGCGAATTGGGAACGCGTGGGAGGAAGGCGAGGGTGAACTGCGCACAACGTGCTTTGTGTAGGAATTAGATGGGTCGCGCCAATGGCGCCAGCTCAGGTTGATTCACGGGGAGGCCGTGGCGACAATTGGCTAAATGACTGCCGTGGTATTGTCAACGGGAAACACCAGGAAGTAAAATAACAAAAAGTTTCAAGTTCGCCACTGGAACCAAACAAACTGAACAATGGCGGACAATTTAAATGACACAACAAAATAAAGAAACACTAGCAGGTTCGTTGTGACGCAAAAGCATGGTAAATGGGAATCAGGTGGAAAGACGTAGATGGTATGAGAAAGCAAAAATGGAAGGAGAGGAATATGGAGAGAGCGCACAAAGACAAATCATTAAATACAAATTGAAAATCCTAAATAGCTAAAACGTAGAAAATGTGTAATACTTATGTTATGGCAGAGGTAATACCAAAATCGGAGGTTCTTTTGAAATACAAACAAGAAAAAAACATTGTAACAAAAGAAAGAATGGAAAAAGTCTTAATAACTTGAGAGTGTGTGTGTGAGAGAGGGAGAGAGAGGGGGGGTAGAAAAGACAGAGCAAGAGTGCTCGAAGAGCGCGAGGAGGAGCTACCAAGAAAGAGCGAGAGGGAGAGAGAGAAGAGAGCGGATGAAAGAGTAAAGAGCAAGCGTTCGAGAGGAGAGGGTAGGGAGCGAAGTGGAGCCATGAGAGGGAGGGAGGGAAGGTGCGGGAGAGCAAGAGCGCGGGGCTCACCTGGCACGGCGACGGGGCTGGAGGAGCGGCTGAGGCGGGGGCTGGAGGAGCGCGAGGCGCGGCGCGGGGTGCCGGGCGGCGTGACGCCGTTGCCGTTGGCGCGGCTCTCGCCGATCGCCTTCACCAGCTCCTTCACCGACACGCCGGCCAGCTCAGGTGGCAGGTCGCGCGCCGACGCGTCCGCCGACGCCGCGCGACGCACGCCGCGCTCGGGGCTCCTGCGCGCACACGACGCTTGCACTACACAACTCTTTCTCTTGCAGGTAAACAATTGATTTAAACATGAAACGGATTAACACAAAAGCACTGACTGAAATAAAAAAAATCCCCATTTAAAACAAAGTGCTTTAATCAAAAACACTTTTACTTTTTTTTTATTTTTAACAACGCAGTATTATAATTAACTACAGGTTCACTGCCATCTTCATTCCCACTAGTTTTCCTCGACCCCTTGAACAAACGCTTTAATAGTCCCTTGCGACACAATTCCCCTCCTGAATGCACTTCACATTTCGGACCATCACTCCTCTCCCTTCACCCTTGATATTATTTGATTACGTTTACTCAGGTCACTTCTTGTTCAAACAGAAAGTCGTATGAATTTTACTGCGAAGATCACGTACGTCCTAACCTTTTCATACGTAAAATACAGCTTTTTGAATCGCAGTCGTCAACACAATGACTTCAAGAATGAAAATCGTACCAATAAATCTGATTTGGACGGCCAAATCAATTCCTTATAGTTTACTTAAGCTGTTTTCAGAAGAACCCATCTCCACGTATGCTTGACTTTCAGAACGGTTACAGTGTCAGATCTTAAAGAAGTTAATATGACGGGTGTTCTCTAAGAACCCATGAAGACCAATGACGTGTACTCATTCCATATCAATAATATAAATAAATCTGAAAACATGACATATGCTCCCTTGGGAGTAATCTAATAAAAACACACCTAGCGTGACCTCAGTAGCACAGATTCTCATATAAACTAGTACTCGTAATACGCACCCCAACGGCGTAAATTAGGAAATTTGCGTTTTACGTCTTTGGTACCCAAAACAGATTATTTTCTTGGGCAGTACTTCTAAATATCTCCGGCTTTGACTCACTGTAAGCACAGCCTTTAAGACGATAAGGAAGAAGAAAAATCGTCAAAACTTCTGGCGTATTGATACATTTCTCAACAAAATTATGCAGAAAAATCTGCATGTACATATTTTTTTATTTAAAAAAATATTTAAGTGGATGAATGGGATTGCCAGTTTACTGGTGACCAGAAGCACCGTTGAACATTTAGACTTCGGTAGGACGCGAAGGGAGGTGCCTCATTGTATATGAACCCGCAATAAGCGGCATAAGTAGCACTCACCTGGCGGGGGAGCTGCGCCGCTCGGGCGGGCCCAGGCGGCCCTCCTCGCCCTTGAGCCACTTCTGGAGCGCGGCGAACTTCCCGGCGGCGCCGCCTGCGCCAGCGCCAGCGCCGCCCGCGTCGCGGCTGGGCGTGGGCGGCGGCGGCGCTGCGGCGGGGGCGGCGGCGGCTGCGGCGCGCGGCGCCGACTCGGGCCAGCGGTGGGTGGCGGGCGTCGGCGGCGCCGCCGCGCGGGCAGCGGCCGCCGCCGCCACGCGTTCACCGCCGCCACGCCCAGCAGCGGCGCGGGCGGGCGGGGCGGGGGCGTAGGGGCGGGGGCGGCGGCGGGGCCGCGGCGGGGGCGGGAGCGGGGAGGGGAGGGCGAGGGCGAGCCGAAGACGAAGGGGTTGGCGCCGAGGCTGGAGGAGGCGCCGCTCGAGGGCAGCGGGGACGCCGTGGAGGGCTCGCGCCCGCCCGCCGAGGGCGCGCCGAACGTGAAGGGCGAGGGCCCGAGGTCGGGCGCCAGCGACGGCGCCGCGCCGAAGGGGCCGCCGGCGCCGCAGCCGAAGTCGAAGCCGCGGCCGCGCGAGGACGAGCCGAAGGGGCCCGCGCTCTCCGACGTCACGCGCGCCTCGCCCGTCTCTGCGCACGCAGCCACAGCGCGCGCAGAGGTTACACATGACTCTTCACCCGACATCACAACCTACTTTCTTTTTAATTAGGACTCAACAGTTACTTACTGAAACACCATTTGAAAATACCCCTACATTTTGCCAATAAGCACAGAAGAAAAGCCAGTGATGCGCCCAAGAGGGCTTAAGGAGATCAAGTCTGCAGCACCATCACAAACGGGTAACGTATTCACAAACAGAAGTTTCACTAATTTTCTAATGTGACGAGAGTCATTGAAAATCTAGTGTGAATAGGTTATAAATAAATAAAATCAACAAACTAAATAAATTTAATCTCAGCAGAACATCAATACCAGCTACCCATTGCGCCTTTACCCTCAATAAAGAAAAAAATCCTAGTTTCCCCACTGAGAATACTCAACTTTTAACTACTATTTCAAACCTTTGATTATGAACGTTATAATAAATATCAGAATATTCATCCCTTTAAGTTTTAATGCAAGGTAAAGATAGATGAGCGTGAGTCGTAAAACAGATTAATACTAATGTGGTCAAGAACTTCGTTAATTTGCCTAGTAAATGAAGCACGAGAATCTGTTTAGGGAGAGCTCACCCAGGGCGTCCATGCCGTCGCGGCGCAGGTAGACGACGTCGGTGCGGCTGAGCGCCAGCGACCACGCCTCGCCCTCCGTGTTGAAGCAGAACTTGCGCATGGTGTCGCGGTCCAGCTGCACCCACGTGCCCTCGCTCGTCACCACCTGCGCACCGCCGCCCACCACATGCTCCACTGCGCCTCGCGCGCTCAACGCGCACGCCGCCATCGCCACGCGGCAGGGCGTCCACAGCGGACTTTTTCTGTTTTACACGATTTTTATTCTTGTAAAACCACATCTCGATTGGTCAATTTCTAAATCGAGATGTACATTTCCGTGGGGTTGTAAATTTTTGTTCGCTTAATTTCAGAGAAAATTGATTTGCGCTGTCAAAGTAATGAAGAAACAGACCTGCAATTACATACGAAATGTATGACAAGCAGGATGGTACACCTAGGTTTCACAAGCTTAAAATTCTCCAAACACGGAAGTTCCCTTAGAATTCGAAAAAAAAGAAGAAAAAAAAACCCTGATCAGATCCACACACGTAGATCGACCCACTTTCCCGGAATGTGGAAAACGGGAGAAACTTATGGACACACGCAAGTTACCCCGATGGCTTTATCCCCAGCATTAAAGGGGAAGGGGGTTCAGACGCCCACTTATGATTGTTCTCTACAGATTTCAACTTTCTTTCGAATCTGAAAATCATTGACATTGTTTACGGCGTGATTTTTGTATCACAGGATGGTGCTATCACAACTTTGTTATTACAGCGAATATTGCTATAACATAAAAGTATAACATAAAAGCAATTCGACACTATTCATTCGAAAAACTAAACAATCAGAATACTCTTAGAAAATATTCGTAGTATTGTAAAGTTTAGAATAATACAGCTTAATACATTACTATGTGTTGACGATACATCGGCTTTTACTTTTTATAAAAATGTCAACGGTTCTGTCATTAAATCTTTCATATACAGAGACCGAAGTTGAGAAATTAATGTTGTTTAAATGAATACGTATGAGTATGATACGCCGAGTGCGTTGGCGACGCGGGCGGTACTCACGTGGTCGGTGACGGTGACCTGGTTGCCGAGCACCAGCATGCCCACGGGCGGCGCCTTGAGCGAGGGCCGCGAGCGCACGTTGTGGCCGGAGGCGCCGCACTTCACCACGGTGTACTCGCCGGGCCCCAGCGCCGCGCGCGACCGCCTGCGCGCCACACACACCCACGCGCTCAAGCACGCAACCCAAGACAGCGTGCACCGCAAAACATGTGCGCTCACAAATTAGCTGTATTCTTCAAAGCAGGGTGCGGATTCAGGAGGCGGGAGATGATGCAGGGGATCGTTATCAGAGGGTGTATGATGTCTAACGCTAGAAAACTACTAATTTATTCACACAGGGAACCTAAATATCCATTTCTACGGGCCTCATTTATCGTTTCCACAATTAAGTGCACGCATAAATGTTTCTAAATCAAACTCATGGTAAAAATATCGCAATAATATTCTTAGAGTTTATGAAGTCAGTGCAGCCTAAGCGAATATGATCTCTTCACTAGTCAATTTGTCGATTCCGCCCTCCCTGGAATTGTGAGCCCCAACCCCATCCAAGGAGAAAGTGTCAATTCGCACCCTGGTTCAAAAAATTTATCACTCGCATCGGAAATGGAAATCGGGTTTTCGAATTTACGCCCAACTGCTCTGACCACTAGGCTACCCAGATTACATTAAATGAACAGTTTAATGGACCTTCTGGATTGCCTTATAATTGCAACTCTATGACGACAAGGTGGTAACAACTCAGAAATTATCAAACCGGAAAAAATATGTCTCACAATTTCAATATTACTTTCAAGAAACTCGTGAGATCACTCAAATATTTGCAACGTTTAAAAATCAACACTCACAGATTCGACCAGTACATCTTTTAGAGGCAACAGAAGTCACTGGGGGAGAGACCTCTGGATACCCAAAGAAATGTAAGGAAATATTCTATTTCCCTAAAGACTACTATTTCTGTGGGCCCAGCAAACAAACTTGTGGAAAATATAAATATCAAAGAATAACGTATAAAGAATTGAAAAACATAATTTTTAACTTTTCTTTAGTGAGGATGGTCCAGTTAGTGGGAGAGTATGGATCTAATTACTACGAACATTAAAATTTTACAGTAACATTTAAACCTTACTCTAGGGAAAGCCTTAAAATTACGACATCAATACGAACTAGTAATAATTATTGTACGATTAAAATTACTTGGCGCGTGACACATGGTGAGTTGGAAGGAGACGACGCACTGTAATCGAAACTGAAACTTTAAGTTCTGAACGTTGAACTGATCATCAAAGATTGAGGCTCCCGTTTGGATATCAGAACCCCCCTCTTTTGTTAAATCACCAAGCGCAAACGAACGCCGTCGGGAAGATATAAACCGCGAATGCGGTTTGCCGGCTCACCCGTCCTTGGCAGCGGAGGAGTCCGGCAGCTTGCGCAGGATGGTCTCCTTGATGACCTGGTCCAGGATCGTCTTGGGCTCCTCCACGGGCAGCAGCAGCGTCTTGCCCAGGTGCTGGTTGTACTGCAGGCACCACGCCTCGCCGTGCCCGCTGCTGCAGTACTGGTGGATGGTGTCTTGGCTGAGGCGCAACCACACGCCGTCGTCGTTGTGGATCTACGGGCAACAGCGACCTCTCCATCTCAAGGTTCACCTCCAACCTTATTCATCGTTAACACAATTGCTTCCGTTCCAAAATAGTATTTAATTCTAATGGACTCTCGCAACACAAAAGCTGCTCAACAAAACCACACAATATGTATTTTACAAACAATGGCACGGACGCACAGAAACATGCACAAATAAAACACTTTCGTAGAACACTGCAATAAATTAAATACCATTGCAACAAATATTGCAATAACATAGTATAGTATTTACGACACAGAACAAAAGTTGACAGTACACAAGGTTGTCAAAAAAGTTTCTGTTGATAAAGCAACACGTAAATAGCAAATATATTCAATGTCGAGCGGCGTCTTCCTTTACGCCTTGCTGTTGAATGACGTCAGATATTTCGTAAACAACGACGCACTGATAATCCAGTCGATACGGTAGAGGAAGGATTTATTGTAATAGTCCTCTACAAGACGTATGTCCAGATCTCGGTAAACGTAAAACATTTTAATTACTCTTTCAAAATAATGTGTAACTATGTTCACAGTGAATAGGGACTATATTTTTCTAGAACATGTAAACCTGCCTCATTTCACGTACCTCAGACGAGAAGTACTCGACATTTTAGGGAGAGGGGAATATTCCATTCAGTACATATGTTGTATTTCTTTACAGTACCTTTTGCACAGTTCTTAATTTTCTGCAATGTGATTGCAAGGTTTCAGCTTGACTTTATATCCTTTTAGAAATTTTATTTTGTTGTATAATAGCCAGAACAAAACAGGTTAAAACACTGAACAAGTGAAATGGTTTAAAACAACCAATTAAATTTTAAAAAAACTGCACTTTATCTTTCAGATTCCTCTAATAATTAGCAATGAAAATTTAAATTGAATGTTAATTGGATGTCTCAGATGAAGCACAAGTTTTCAAGTCCAGAAGTTCTGATATTTTAAAATTGTAATCCAATGCATGTAACATATGCAAAACTCTTTATCTCTCATCATTGCTTTAACGAATAAAACTAATTTTTCTTGAGGATTCTCCAATCAAGTAATCAGGTCATGAGGACCAGGAATTGGATAGCACCCAATCTCTCAGGAATCAAATAGTTTCCGTAATACGTAAATTTTCGTGCGTACTTACAGAGTAGAAAAAGAGAAAAAATCTGGTTTAATATTACTGGATAGTAAGCTATGTTAATTAAACATTTTCATCTTCTGGAACTAAATCCAACCACTAAATTTCCTCAAAGCTGTAAGAACGACGTACCAATAATCTTAATAATGTGTTTAAAAACACAGTATTTGATTACTATCATTCAACATCCATTAGCATAATATACAAGTACCGTATTAAAGCAAAAATTGTTTCGATAAGACTTTGAATTTTGTTTCGAAATTTGAATAAGTGGAATAACTTGTTTTCAGTGTGAGAGCGGTTAAAAATATCAATATAGAAAGATGTGAATTGTTTTGCAGTAAATTGTACGCTAAAATAATAAAAGCTTAGATGATCTTGAGTAATAATGTGAATAGCATCTATGCTATAAATAGTCTATAGACATGCTATCTATAGACATTTGAATGTGGTGACGGTCTATACTGTTTGAAGGCGGACTTTCTATTCTGGAAATTAATTTTGAAAACCAAACTATATACAAAACGTGGACATAGGAATCCGTAGAAAGTAGTTTTAATTGTCTGGCTAATGTTTTTTAATCACACTCTTAACTAGTACCCGAAACTGTAACAAAAAAGTTAAAGAAATAATTACCTCAATATAAGCTTTCCGTGATGGTCAAAATATTAATAATGAAACAAAACGAGTTGTTTTCTATTTTAATACGACTTCCACCTTCATAATAAATAGTTTAACTACAAAACTAGGATGTGAAATCATACAGCACAGAACAAACATATATTTAACACAAACAGTAAGCTTTAGCACACAGTCCTAGAGGTGTATGTTCTTGAAGAAATAATTAGCTTCTCGTTGACAATGAGCGTCATATTCTGCAGTATGTTCACATAGATTTGTAGGGACGAATACGATGCGAAGCCACTTTTGACTTGTTCGCGCTGTAGGGGCTCTGTAACTGGAGATCGATCGTTTTCACCTTGGACCTCCTCTTCAACTTCCTGCTCTTACTGGACTTGGAGCCCAATTTCCTCTTCTTCTTTTGATTACTATTGACAATCAAAGGCTTGTAGCGCCCGGAGGCCCTGAACGTGCAACCGCTCCTGGAGCTGCAGGCGTCGGAGGCAACCAACGCCCTCGCACCGGGCGAGTCCGGGTCCACGCAGGGGCTGAGAGAGCGGACCTCCAGGGAAGGGTTCTTGCCGTGCAGAGGCCTTTTCTTCGCCGGCCCCTCGCCGGCCCCCGAGCTCTCCGCGCCGGAGGAGGCCAGCTTCTGGAACAACGCCCAGTCCGGTTTCACGAGGCGCAGGCCCTGGTCGCCCAAGGGCACCCGCTGGCGGCAACTCTTGAGGTGCAGCGGCGGGCTGAGCGCCTTCACCACCAGCGAGGTGACGCTGCGTTTGGGCGGCTTGGGCAGGCTCCTGTTGAGCTTGCGCTTGGGGCGCAGCGTGCGCCGCGCGCCCTTGCCGCTCATCCTCCGCACCATCTCCACCAGCGTCTGGATGACGCGCTGCTCCTTGGAGGGCCTGGGCGCGGCGGCGTGCGGCGAGGAGCGCTGGCTCAGCGCCGTCACCGTCATCGGCGCCGGGCCCCCGGCCGGGTGCGCCAGCCAGAACGGCGACTCCTCCGTCGTGGCCGGCTCGTCCTTGCCGGCGATTTGCACCTTCGTCACCGGCGACCCCACCGGCACGAACGTCAGACTGGGCCCTCCCTTACTCATGATCGATGCCAATTTGCTTGATTCACATCCTAGCGACTGCAAGCATTGTGGTGCAGGACTATTTGGCGTTTTCTTGTCCGGGTATCCATTGCTGTTTCAGGCAGAAGTCGCAGTTATGTCGTTCGTCTTCTGTCACTCTTTTTGGTCGTTCGTGCATTTCACGGCTTCCTAGATCCAGAATGTGATTGTCAATTAAACAAAAAACAATCCAACACAAAAGACTCGTTCACGACTCCGGATTGGCGCTATTAATACTCCTTGCGACGACACGTACTATTATGAGAATGATGTCAAATGATTCAGAAAAATTAAATAAGTTGAAAAAAATAACTTTAAAACATAACGCTGTTGTCCCTGTAATACAAAAATATATGAGAATTGAAGAAAAGTAATGAGGAAAGTCACTATACTATTCGGGAATCTTACATATTGGTAAACTTTATTGGTAAATTTTGACTAGTATAAGAATTTAAGACTTGCAAAACATTACTTGAACAGACTAAGTATTCCCAATACTCTCCAATGTATGTAGTATTTATTTTCTCAAAAAACAGTAAAAACGGAATGTGACCTATGACGGAGAAGATATGCGAACGTTTTCGTGAGTCCCAAAATGCCTTCTCACAGTTGAAAGATTATTGAAGAATAATTAAAAAAAAAATTCGTTAAAGAAAGTTGTCATGGATTTCTGACCTGCGGGTACATCTTACACATGGGATAGAAGGGAATTACACGGATGAGACTCGTAGGTGTTATTGGGAATAACTTGGCCACTTGTCAGTTCTTTCCAACGATTACGTATTTTAGTAGATGGCATCGGAACAAATTATAATTTGAATTATTTTCCCAACCACATTTCGCATATTATTTTTCTTGGTTTGGAATATTCTGTAAATGAAGCTGCGAAAAAAATAGAATGAAACCAGATGAACCAGTCCTCGCAGGTAGTTTGACATGTTTATTTGCGATAAAAGTCGTTCTTCGCACGAGTTATTTGATTAGTAAAACGTTCAGCGTTCGCGACGAGAACTCGAAGAAGATCAACGCAACAGTCCTTTATCGGATCAGTTACAGAGGGTTTATTTCGTTTATCTGCTAATAGATATAATAAAAACCAAAAAGAAAAGAAAAATACGAAACTGGAAAACAGAGAATTGAAGCTCGGAGCAGGAGACAAGAAAGAGGGAAGTGAACGAGGAGAAATGTTGGAATGAGGAGGGAAGCTGAGAGAAGAGGGAGAAGAGGAGAACTTGGAGGAAAAGGGGGGAAGAGGGGAGGCGAAAGGCACGGCGGAAGAGGACGAGGAGGGGGAAGAAAGAGAAGAAGAAGTCAAGAATGAAGAGGAGGAAGATGAGAATGAAGAGAAGGAGAAGGAAGAGGAGGAGAGGGAGGGAGGGAGAATGAGAAGAAAAGTGCTCTTCTTCTCCAATTGGCGTTGAGCGCGAGCGGGGCGCGCGGTGGCAGTCGTACCTCGTCGACGAAGGCGACGGTGCCGTTGACGTGCACGACGCCGATCTGCTCGCTCTGCAGCGAGGGGTGCGCGCGGATGCGCAGGCCCGCGCTGTTCTTGGCCACGAACTTGCGCAGGCGGCTGGGCTGGTGCGGCGCGCGCTTCACCACGCTCTGCGCCGGCGGCGCCACGCCCTGCGGCGGCTCCTTCACCTCCACCTTGTACACCTGCCACACACGCGCGTTTGCGAACACGCACTCAAACCAAACTATGCATTTGCTTCTTTGGTTTTATGGATTTATTCAATCGCTTAAAGTGTACGTGAATGGGATGATCCCTATCCTGCATCCCACATATAAATGTATAGCAGCTTCTCTTAAATATATGCACTTTGCAATTTCAAAAATTGATTGATATTTCCGGACGTGACGGTCTGTGGTGTGAGTCCCATATGTGTAGTGCATATGAGGGGAGTAAGAGTGTTCGCAGCTACAACCTGAAATCCCGCGCCGACGTAAACGTCGGGATTCCCACTCTCCAGCTACCTCCCTCCGCAGGCCACCGACCAGGCTGGGCAACCTACTGGACGTACATCTGGAAGCTCACCTCTGGTTTCAGACATGTGTGGTAGTGTTGTACTTGAATGAGTGCACGTGTGTGAAACGAGGGGGGAGAAGGCTGCAACGAAAGGAAAGATCGCGCACGGACCGCGGCCCGCGGCCCGCTCGTTAGGGTACTGCTCAGGTATTCGCCTGGTGTTGATCAGAGAAACCACGGAAAACTACCGATCAGAGCAGCCGGCCGCTAGAATTCTCCTCCATGCAGCGGTTGAACTCGATCAAACTCCGCCCCTTGGGGGGGGGGCATTAAGAATGTGAACATAAAACCCTTCCCTACTGAAGAAAAACAACATACTCCCGCCCTACTTTAAACACCTCTCCATCGTCGTTAGACGTACCTCGTCCATGTCGTAGCCGTCGATGCGCACCAGCACGGAGTACCAGCCCACGCTGCCGGGCGTCCAGGTGGCGGAGTAGGTGCCGTCGCCGTTGGGGCGCACCAGCATGTTCTCCGAGGCGCGCTTCACGGCCGGCGCGGTGAAGCGCAGCTCCTCGAATGAGTAGTTCTCGTACGCCTTCATCAGGCTGATGGCGTAGTAGCACATGCGGTCCTTCACCGTCACCTGACGCACAAGCAGCGAAAAACCTTCACTCGCAATACATCTTCAAGAAGCGAGAGTACAGCACTACACACAAATCTGAAGTAAGGTTGTTCAACACATATAGATGGCTGACAACCAGACTGTTCTAAGATCATTTTACTACATTTTGCAGGAGAGCCATCTAAAGTTTTTGTTTGCGGTAAGTTAGTACGGAATGACTTTGTTGCGTTCATCAGTATGTTTTAAAGTTTAACATTCAAATACCACGTCGGTTTCTTCCAGAACTAACCGTTACTCAAGTGACTAATTTATTTACTTTCTCTTATCACCGTATTTTTATCGCGAGTCTTACAAATGTATTTCACATGTAATATTCTTTACTATTTTCTTAATTAATGTTTTCGTTTTATTTCCATCCGCGTAGCTCTACTAAATAAAAATTAGCTACACAATATATTCGAGGTTATTTGACAGATTTCTTGCCATTGCGCCCCAATTCAGGTACCTCCTACTATGTTCTACTACATCGTATGTTCCTACTATACTATACGCACCTCGTAGGGCTGCTCGAGCGACGGGTGGGCGTGGCCGCCGAAGGTGAGGGCGTCGGGCTGCGAGACGCGGCGCAGCTTGCGGCCCGCGTTGCCGCCTCCCGCCCCGCCCCGCCCCCGGACGGTCCCGCCACGCCGGCCCCGCGCCGTCCGGGCTCCTTCTCGTCGATGGGCACCGCCTTCACCCCACCATGCAACACCACACACACACATTCTCAGCGACAGCCCAGGCACAGGCTCGTCGCAATGGAGCTTCATTACAAAGCATGTAAGGCGATTTGTAAATCATTTAAAGAAAAAAAAGTGAACTGAAAAGGGAACAAACAATCTGGGAAGGTATATTTACATAAAAATACGTTTACGAGATGGATGGCGCAAGGGCCATTCACCGCACACCAACTTCATGATATTTATCATACAGTACGGTGTGAGTCAAGCCAATGGTATAGATTTCGTAACGAACAAAGCTCGAAATGAGAGGATTTGTATAATTTACACCCCATCTCACCAAGAATCCAAACACAGTCTTAGTAGTAGCGAGGGTATTATTACGTATTTACGTTACTGACTCTATTCGTCACCAGATTTGTGGTAAATATCAGAACGTTACGAACATTGTGAGCTAGGAATGTTGCAATTTCACAGCTTATGGTGTGGCATTAACAGAAAGTTACCGGGCGCGCAGCTTCCACTCCCTGCTACATTGTTACTGCCTTCACCTCCACCTGACAACCAGACACACACGCTCTCCACATCTCATCTCAGTCACTGGCTGGTCTAAACAAGCGAAGTCAGCCTTGGTGTACGGAGGGACCGAGGAGCTCGCCTACGACGAGCACAGCACACCAGTTGTCTCTCAATCAGGGCGTTGCAATCTTCGGTGGCAGAGAAACATGTTGGCACGCAACACTTCGGGGTCCAGCAAGTCTCAAAGCATGTGGTCGTTGATTATTCGTGTCAGGTGCAAATAGGCGAATTTGTAATATGTGGAAGGCAGAGTTCAACGAAAGTACGAAATGTTTCACAAAACAGACCACGATCTTACTTAACAATATCGGGGAACATGAACAAACTTGTTTATTTAATTTGAATGTTATTTATGTCAATCGTACACAATTTTGTTTTCTTTTTAATGTAAATCTCCAGTAGCGCACCGAAGAAGAAGGGGTGATGGAAATTCACACCCCTCCCCTCACCCAGAAGCTGAAGACAAAAATTTACAAATAGTTTTAGTAATTGTCCACAGTGAGGATTGCACATTCATTATCTGACATTAATACGTTATAAAATCAACAAATAATAATAAAATTTACATCCAGAATATAAAAAAAATAATTCACAACAAAACAAAGAGTCGGCTGTGCCCAACACCTATCTTTCCACACGAAAAATCGTAATGGCCCAACTTTTCGCTTCCTTCATTTATTGTCTTCTTTGACCAATAAAGGTGAGAACAGTCATTTCTCTCTGTATTGTCTACCAACGAGCTACCGCTTCCCACTCGCTCGTAAATCAGTGAAGCTTACGAGGTGGCTGGCACGAAGGCCACTCACCACCCTCTCCACATGGCATTCATCATCAAATATGGCATGAGAGAAGACAATGGTATAGTCTTCTTACTTAATGAATGAATTGAGAGAAGTTGTTATATATGGGGACATGACGTTTGACAAAGTATCTAAACACAGATCCCCAGGTCATTAGTACGTATTTATATTTGCGGAGTTTATTTCGCTGACATAACCAGAGATGCAGTAAATGTCAGAATGCATTAATAGGTTATGAAGGATGTCAGATAGGAAAGCAACAGTTGCACATCTTTGGATATGATTCACAATTACCATTTTCAACACTATTCACGCCTCCAACCCAGCAACTAGAATTACAAATAATACAATAATTAATTTTGATAGGCAGATCGACGATAATCGAACATTTTCACACAAACTCGGCAGGAAAAATACGCTATTTAATTGACGTCTGTGTCCGATGCTATAAAATCTGAAAATGAATTCACACACGTAAAGGAGTAACGAGGACATGAGACGTAAAGAACCACTTCAATGCCCTGGACTCAACTTTGAATTAGAAGAAAATTATTTTAACTTCCGCGCTCGAAGAAAAATACCATTCTCGCACGGAAAGCGCCATTAACCGACTAAGGTGCAGCAGACGGTGCAGTTAGCAGGAGCCGCATCATCTGCACCAACACTCTCCACGTGCGCAGAAAGTGCATCAGCAAAGCCCTTCGCCGAAGCCCTCCACCGCACGCTCCCCGCCCACGCGTCTGTCTGCGCGAAGAGGCGGCGCCGGCCGCGTCAGCGCCGACAGCTGGCGCGCCGCGCTGCTGGCCTCCGCCCCCGCCCGCGCAAACAGCGGCGCCCGCACGCGCGCGGGGCGCTCATGAGATAACGAGCGGTCGGCGCCTCGGCTCGCTTTGCACCGCGCGCGCCGCGTCCTGCGCCGCGCCGGCGCGCTCGCGACCGCGCAGGAATCGTATTTTGCTGAGTGGCCACGTCCACCACACTACCACTCGTTTCGAGAGAGAACTCGGAAGCTTAGAGCTTGTCCCGGATGGGGTGGGGCCTCGCCGGTGGGAGATCCTGGTTGGGCCCCGCAAGCCGACATAGGTCGGCGACGGATCTCGCCAGTCCGTCATACACACACGTTTTGCCTTCAATACATTTTTCCAATATCAAGGACCCACAAAGCATGGATTCTACCTACACAACGTCAGAGGAAATGATGTACTCGATAGAGGAAGATGATTTGTCCACTTGATTGTAGCCAGGGCTCTAAAATTCTAATTTATCTGTCCAAAAATCGCCACTTTTTGCCGTACAATTAAAACGTAAGTACGTAGTCTGACGTTAAAGAAAAATTCGCCGCTCTAGAAAACTGAGATAGTTATGTGGACACACAGAACGCATCGGTGCAAAGGGTACAAACGATCTTAAGGCTAAATGTCCCGACACTAGTACAATTTGTAGCCACCACGTGGCAGCAAAAAAATAAATAAAATTTACTTTGCCGATAACGTCTGAACCAATGGTTCGATTTTCGATCTGTAAATGGCATTTGACGCCTTTTTAAAATAGAATTTACACTAAGATGACCTTTTTTCTAAAAATCTAACAAAAACGCGAATATGAAATTAGTTCTTCAACTTCCGAAAACAAATTTAAAAATGTGGCCTTATAGAGCGATAACGACATGCTTCCTGAATCCAACGCCGTGACAATCATGCAAATCGACTTGCTGGGCCGATCCCCGACTTGATCGACTTGCTGGGTCGATCCCCGTCTTGATCGACTTGCTGGGTCGATCCCCGACTTGATCGCCTAGCTGGGTCGACCCCCAACTTGATCGACTTGCTGGGTCGATCAAACACTTGATCAACCACTTGATCGACTTGCTGGGTCGATCCCCTCACTGATCGACTTGCTGGGTCGATCCCTCACTTGAGTCGACTTGCTGGTCGATCCCTACTTGAACGACTTGCTCGGTCGATTCCCCACTTGATCGACCTGCTGGGTCGATCCCCAACATCATCGACTTGCTGGGTCGATCCCCGACTTGATCGACTTCTGGGCCGAACGCCACTTGAGCGACTTGCTGGTGGATCCCCACTTGATCGACTTGCTGGGTCGATTACCACTTCATCGACTTTGATAGGTCCATCACGCACTTGATCGACTTGCTGAGTTGATCACAACTTGAACGACTTGCTGGGTCGATCCTTCACTTGATAAAATTGCTGGGTCGATCCCTACTTGATCGACTTGCTGGGTCGATCACCCACTTGGATCGACTTGCTGGGTGGATGCCCCACGTGATCGACGTGCTAGTGGATCCCCCTTGATCGACGTGCTAGGTGGATCCCCAAATGATCGACGTGCTAGGTCCATCACCTCACTTGATGCTTGCTAGGTCCATCACCACTGATCGACTTGCTGGGTGATCACGCCACTGGATCGAGCTGCTGGGGTGGATGCCCACTTGATCGACGCTGGCTAGAGTGGATTCCCCACTTGATCGAGTGCTAGGTCCATCACCCACTTGATCGACTGCTAGGTCATCACCCACTTGATCGACTTGATGAGTCGATCACAAACTTGATCGACTTGCTGTGTCGATCCCCCTACTGATC